GATTTTTTATGCATAAAAAAAAAAAGGACAAGTAAATAATTTAAAATACAAAAATAAAATATATAAATATATTAATTATTATTATTACCCAATCAAAAAAAAAAAAAGATTATAGGAAGAGAACTTATTAAGCATGAAAGAATATTTAGTATTAAAACATATCAAGTATTGTGTAATATAAAAAACATCAAGTATGCTGCATTAAAACTTATCAGAGATTTTTAAGCATTTAGTTAAAAATTAGAATTTTAATTAAACGCTAAAAAATCCTTGATATTTTTAATGCATTATACTTGATGTTTTTTATATTACACAATACTTGATATGTTTTAATACTAAATAATCTTTGGCCTGACAAGCTTTATAAAAATGCCATATTTGCCAATAATCAAGATGATTACTTCACAATCGTTAATACTCCTAGAGATGAAAAACAACAAATAGAAAAAGAACCAAAAATAATTGACCCAAGCCAAATCAGTGTATCTAGTGAATTGTGTGGCGCTGGTTTTTTTTCTCAGGTTTCCATGGTAATTACAATGGTAAGAAAGTTGCCTGTAAATGTTATCAATTGAAGAACTTCAAGAGTGACATGTTTTACAACGAAATCGCCAATCTTAAACTATTAAACCCGCATCAATCTGTCCCCGAACCCTACGGCATTCTCAAGCTAGACTCATTCTATTATGGAATGGGTCAATGGAACGACCTTAGAAAATTACTTGAATAACAACCCAAACCCAAACTTTTTATTCTCCGTTCTCCGTAAAATCGTTAAAGCCTTAGCATACATGCATTCCATAGGTGTAACTCACGCTGACATTTCTACTACTAACATTTTGGTATATAATATTTTAGAAAACAAATACCATATCAAGTTTGTGGACTTTGGTATCAGCCGTAATAATGACCCAAAAGAACAAATCCCATGCAAAGGTAGAAGAGGATGGATCGCACCATAACCAAATGGCCAAACTCGTGCAGATCTAAATGAAAACTGATGTGTACTCTTTTTCCGTTCTTCTCAAAGAGATACTTGCAAGTAATATTCTTTGGGATAACTTTTTAGGAATTGATTGGTATAAAATATACTCAAAATGCAGTGATGCATCCCAATTACAACGTCTAACTTTTGAAAAAATTTTAGGGTATCTCAACTGAGCCCATACACTTTGTGTTTTTTAATAAAAAATTTAATTGTTTCAAATCCCATCAAAAAATTTAAATTAAATAAATAAATAAAATGGATAAAACTATAAATAAATTTTTTTATTTTTTTTATTGGTCTTAGTTTAAAAGTTTTCGGATGCTATGCTGCCCTAAAGATTTTTTCTTTTTTTCTTTTTTTAGGGTTGTGGAACACGCATGCATTGCACATGGACACTTTAGTTGACACACCCAGCAAATCTGCCCAACCAAATAATAAAATTTAAAGCAATAAAAAAAAAAAAATAAAAAAAAAAAATTTATAAAAACATATTAAAAATCCAACTATTGCTTTAATTATCATAATTATAAAAAATTTGGGTTATTGTTTTATTTTTTATCTTATTTTTATTTCTTTTTGAATTAAATATATCAAAAAAAAATACAGCAATATCGGTATGTTCCGGATATTTATTTATCTATTTATAATAAATAAATAAATATCCGCTGACCCGCCCCTTATATTTAATAAAATTACAAAAAAAAAAAAAAAAATCAAAATGATTCACATAATTGACTTAAAAAAAAAAAAAAATTTATTTTTCGAAAATTTTTTTAAAATTTTTAAAAAAAATTTATTCAGAAAAAATATTTAATATTAATTGCTTCTTTTGATTTTATTGCGTGATAAATAAAAACACCTTGTTTTTTTTTTGTAATATAAATTTTCAAATATTTGGGTATATGAATGTGATAGGGGTCATATTTTGTAAAAAAATTAAATCTTTGTTATGGGTGAATCCCCAAAAAAAAAAACTTCTTTTTGTAATGCAAATTTTATAGCTATAAAAATATAATTTATATTTCACTTTACCAATGTTGGATTTTTTTTTAATCAAAGTGGATATTATAAAAAAAGACCACGTTGCTATGTACAGCATTTTGTGTGGACTCTTTTTATTAAAACATTAATCTACTTTCAATAATAAAATTAAGAGTAAAATTTCAAATACTGTATGAATATTTTTTCTTGATTTTTAACAAATAATAAACACATTCTAATTTAATGTATATATTATATGAATTTTTAGTAAAAACATATTTTTTATTAATAAAACTATTTCGGAAATAGTGCAAGACAGCAGAATGAAAAAAAAATTATTTTTTTAAAAAAAAAATAAGCAAAACCGAACGATCCACCGAACAGATTTCGTTTGAAAAAATAAAAAAAATATTAAAAAATTAAAAAAAAAAAAAAAAAAATTATTTTTATGTTTTTTCATATCTTTTAATTATTATTAATATATGAAGAATAAAATAAAACAATAAATATAACCCCAAAAAAATAATAATCAATAAATAATGAAAATGTAAAAATTTATCAATAATAGTAATAATAATAACAACATAATAATAACAACAACAATAATAAATTGAAAAATTAATTGAATATCCATCAGCTATCACAATCAAAATAAATAAAGAGTAACTTGAACTCATAAAAATAAAAACTAAAAGAAATATGACTTCAAGAAAGTATTAATCAAAACGGATGAAAAAAATAGACTCACAGTTTAAATAAACAAAAAAAAATTAAAAAATAAATATATAATTTAGTTTACAATTAAAGAATCTTGACAAAATTAATTTTAATAATTGTTTTATTATTATTTTTCAATATATTCATATTTTTTTAATTGATTAATTAATTAATCAGTTTCTTTAAAACGAGAAAAAATTAAAAAAAATTAAAAAAAAAAACAATATATTATTTATTAGATTAAAAAAAATAAATAAATAAACAATATTTTTAGATTTAAAAAAAAATTTACCTTTTTTTATTATCATATTCTGATAATAATCATTTACATACACATATACATATACTCATAAATTTACATATATATACAAATTCTTTTAGAACCTTATACAATACCCATATATATTTACACATAAAATATTTTTATAATAATAGTTAAATAGGTTTTTATTTATTTTAATTTTGGTTATCTGTCATATAAAATTTTTCACTATATCTATTGTTTATTTGGCATGGTAGATTTTTATTTAAATAATCTTCAATGATTACGTTATGTTTGTTTTTAAATGATTGGACAATATTAGGATTATCATCAACAAAAGCTCTATCATAAATTAAGATGGATTCATTTAAATAACCAACATAAAATTTAATGAGATTTGGACGTCTATAATCTTCAGCAATAACAGGATCACCAGGATGGATAAGGATTTTCAATGAAGATGGAAGCCACGAGTTTGATAGAGGCTGGACATGGTATTGTGGCAATTGAAGGATTTCAAGTGATGCTGGAAAAATAGTATTGGAAAACTCTTCAACTTCATCACCATAAAATTTCATTGCACGAAGTGTTGGTGGAGATGTAATATTTTGGGGAGGTCCACCACCTAAACTAAAGTATTCTAGATTTACCAATGGGTTTAGGTCTAGAGGATCTTTTGATACTAAACCACCTAGATCGAGCGATATTAAAGATATTGGGATTTGGTTAACATGAATTTTTATATCACCACTTAAAAGTCTAAGATGCTTTAGACCAGTGAGTGGTTTTAACTGATCTTTTTGAAATTCGAAAGAGTCGGGACAATTTAGTTCTAAATAATTAAGATTCACTGGAAATCTTATATGTTTTTGTTTTTTGGCAACAATGATTAGTTCATTAATAGTATATGGTAATTCGTTATGACGGTGGCTTTTAACTACTACACTTCTAACGTTTTCTGTAAAGCTATGTGGTTCACAAAGCATCCTGTTACCAAAAAGGATTGTATGAATATTTTCAGATGGAACAAAGTTACTTTGGAATCTAGAACCAAAAGATATTTTTTTAAGATTTTTTGGTAATAGATTAGCAGTGATAGGTTGGTTAAAGTGGCGGCATAGTTTGAGATAAGTAAGAGATTCTGGTAAAGAACCAGGCAATAAAGGAACATTATTACCAATCTTTAGCTTTATTAAATTTCTTGGAAGGATTCCTGGAGCAAACTGATGATTATAATATGGGCAGTCAAGAGTAAGAAAAGTAACAGAGTCTGGAATACTTTCGAAATACAATTCTTGGGTGAAAGAAGTACCAATTTTTAGTTCTTTTAAAGTTTTTGGAAGGACATTTTGAAAAATTGGTTGATTAAATGAGTTGGTAATGTACAATTTAGTTAATTCATTTTCAGGAAAAACTGGTATGTAATTAAGACAGTCGTTTGTAATAGCAAAGGTTTCTTGAAGCGGATGATTATAATCATGTGGCAGTGTAAGTTCTTTTAAAGTACTCGGGATCATTCCTGGTTTAATTGGAACGTTATACTCCATATAGGCTAATTTCAAAGAGGTAAGATTCTGTGTTATGATGAAGGGCGAGAAAATATTAAAAAGAACGGAGGTACCACTGTTTGAATCAATGGTAAATTTTGTAACTTGACGTGAATAAAATACTAGCTTTAAAAATACATTTAGTTGATTCGAGTCGGTTAATCTTACATTTAAACTTCTATAATACTGTAAAAAATTGAGAGACCCAATAAAATCATTATTTTCAGTAAAATAAAGATTAGAGTGACGGAAAACATTAAAAAGGCCTGATTATATATAGGAGTCTGATTATTCATCTTTACTATTTTTAATTAATATTTATTAATAAAACAAATGTATTTATTTTTTTTAATTTTTTTTTATTATTATAATTTAAATTATTTAAATTTTCAAAACTTAATAATTTAATAATAAAAATAAATAAAAAAATAAAAAAGAACACTAATCTAAATATATCTTTCCTTGTTTCAAAACTAACCCCATGGTATTTATTTGTGTTAATTGTTAACAATCACTAACAAACATATGTGTTTGGTGGGGTAAAGAAAATAATATTAATTATTAAATTGTGTTAAGTGGGGGATAGGTAATTAAAAAAATTAATGTTTAAATGCATAGAGTAGGCTATTAAAAATATAACCATCTCCATTTATTCCTTTTTTAAAATTTATAATTTTTTAATTTTAATAATGATTCTATCAGTATTAAGTGACTTAAAAATAATTATTATAATTTTTATTTATATATTGTTTGAATTAACAATTAAGGTGATGCTATAAATTGCGGTTGCCATATATAATTACAATTTATATTTTTTATTTCCAACTTTTAAAAAAACACTTATGGATCTATTTCAATTTATCATAATTTTTTTTTTGAACTTAAATTTTTTTAAAAATAAAACTATGCAAAATTTTTTAATTTTAAATTATTAATGGGGAAAAGTTAATTATTCGAATCCAAATTAGTATATACAATTTATATTAAACATTTATTTTTTTTATTATTTTTTATGTACATGTGTGGTTAAAATTTTCACACAATTAACACAAAAATGTATTGATAACATTTCAACACACTCTACCTTTCCCACTCTGCTCACAAATAAAATTATACACACACTCACTATCAAAATTTATAATATTAATAAATATCATATTGATTTTTATTTATTTATTTATATTAACATTTCAAATAGATATATAATATTAACACACTGTGATGTATATTTTCTTGCCAATAAGATGTTCAATTACAACATAATATACAATTATATCCATATAAATAAATATAATTGTAAAATGGTAATTGATTATAATCACTCATAAATTATTGAACCCAGAATGAATAGTAGCTGAATATTTTTAAACTATATATTATAGTTTTGTGATTTGTCTATAGAACTCTTTGTTCTATATGGTGATATTAATTATGATTAATTCCTCATCAAAATATCTATAAAATGAA